CAAAGAATATTCATTCTAGAGGCGTCACCGGACTTCATCCAAGCTGATCCAGAGCAACTTCTGGAAGGCAAGGACTACATGCAAGATACAGAAGGTCCCTCAACCCCCGGCATCAAAGATCAAATTGTCAAGAAGACATCAAAGGGGAGATTGCAAGGATTTCTTCAGATAACCTTCCTCAGAAGTCAAGTTCAAAGTAAAAGGAAGCTGAATAACAATAAAGACAAAGATATTTGCACTACAATGCTGATTCAACACGATTGAACACCATGGGGGAGATTGTTAGGAATATTTTATGGTGTCCAATCTAGTTAAAAATCTTTGTATTTGTGTAGTTATTAATTAAACGTGTAATACGGGCCACAAATGTGTATCAGCCCCGGGGCTTCCTTGTAACCCGTAAGTTAGCTAACTTCTCCTATAAAAGGAGGCTAACTTACGGGAACCCTAACTAATCGTAAGAGTCTTTAGAGACGCAGAGGCGAGATAGAGAGGGTAGGGTTTCCGTTGCTCTCCTTCTCCAGGGAGAGCAGCGGGGTTTCATACGGTATACCAGATTTGGTTTTTCTTCTCGATATCTTTCTATCTTCTTCTTTAACTGCTTAGATTATTTGATTGTTAGTATTCTGGATTTATCAGGCTAATTTATAATCTGATGAATGTCGTATCAACGACCAACCAAATGACGACACGTCACCAAAACTATTAGAAATAACATGTGTCGCGTGGAGAAGCAAAGATCAGTAATCATGACGGTTATGGGGGAAATCAAACGACAGCCATCAGAAAGGTACTAATCATGGCATGGGGAATCAACGAATTATGGATCTCGATCGCCATTCGGCAGGTAACTTCTACTTCCCAATGCACTCACTACCGTTCGAGACATCGGAAGTGGGGGACTCGTGTTGGGATATTGGGCCGCAAGTCCAATACCCGGATCTAAGGCCCAAGATATCCAGTTCGTTAGGCGGGCCCATCGTCCAAGAAATGAACCAACTCTTGGGAAAATATGTACCGAACGAGGTTCGGATCCATTAATATACTTGGGCCAAATCATTAATGGGCCAGATCAATAATGACTCCAGATCAATAAAATCGAACGGGGTTCGGGTCAACCAGTGTAATGCCAGATCAACGGAGATTCCAACAGACTCACTGCCCGTTCGGGCAGCGGGTAGCCGACAAGTGGCAGGGGGCATTAATTGCTAAAGTATGACGGCAGCTAGTGGGAGCATGTGTTCCAAGTGGCTGGATAAAGCAACCAATCAACATTAGTACCCCATACCCCCCATTAGTATAAATAGAAGGATTAGTTTCATTGTAAAGGGTTACCATTTTGATACTCAAGCCTAGAATAACATTATCTCTCTGATTTCTTGTATTAGTTACTATTCCGACATACCCTTCGGGTAGTTTACAGTGTAATAGTCAAATTACTTAAATACAAGTGGACTTTGAGTGTTCGTTGATATCATCTTTTATATTTCTTTTATAAAGTGAATTATCGTCCCGTTTCCTGATATATCCAAAGTTTGTGTTGGGCTTTCGAATCTACGGGATTAAACCTCAACTATAGTTGAGGTTTAATCCCGTAGATTCGAAAGCCCAACACAAACTTTGGATATATCAGGAAACGGGACGATAATTCACTTTTATTCCCTTATTATTATTATTATTATTATTATTATTATTATTATTATTATAGATTTCTATAGAAGATTTCTATTTTAGTCCCAGAATTTTTCATTTTGCCCGTTTATTTCTGGTAACTTCAGTCACTTGTAAACTTGGCATTGTAAACTAATAAATATTATTATTAATACAAGGGAATACAATATGAAAACATTAAAGTTTTCTATTAATATGAAAACTATTAATATTATTATTAATAATATATATATATATATATATATATATATATATATATATATATATATATATATATTAGCATTAAAGTATATTGCATCCAATACAAGGGAATAGAATATGAAAACATGACCCTAAATTCTAACTACCATAGCTAACAGTTTTACTATTGCTAAAATTAATCAATCGTTTATTAAAAATGATGATAATTATAGTAATAATAAATGAAATATTCAATACATGAAAGTAGTCATTTTGGACTCAATTTTAAGTCAACCATTACAATAATAGTTAAATACAAAATATAAATTTAAATATGTTTTCGATTGAACTATTTTTTCAATCTAATATTAGATCGGACAAGACTTAAACATATCAAATTCAGAATATAGTAAAATACACATGTAACTAATAACTCTATTCCTTTTAAGGACTTTTCGATATAAGAGTACACTTTCTGGCAAAAAAAACTACCAGAAAAGACGTCGTCGACATCAAAATTCCATAAAAAGCATTTTTCGGTGAATAAAACTCAATATGAACATATTTATTAGTTTACAAGACCAAGTTTACAAGTGACTGAAATTACAAGAAATAAACGGGCAAAATGAAAAATTATGGGACTAAAATAGAAATCTTCTATAGAAATCTATAATAATTATAATAATAATAATAATAATAATAATAATAATAATAATAATAATAATCGAGTTCAATTGAAAAACATCCTCACTACAATAATAATGTTCATAAGTTTATTTAACTTAAATATCATCCACAGTGAAAAATTACTTAATAATGCATATAACAAATATAGTCAAGAAACAATGATGCAACATCAACCACAACAATAACAATGGAAAGGTACAAACAATTATCATATGATTTAATGCCTAAGAGAGGTAACTGACTACAAATGATTTAATATTTTTCTACATATCCTTATATAAATAAATCAGCATCACGTAAAATATATTAAATGTATCTTCTTTGGACCTTGTTGTCAGCCACTTTTTTTGCACATCAATTTAAATAAAAACTAAACTCTAATGAAAATCTTTTACTTAGGTTAAAGATTGCTAAACATATTAAAAAGGGTAAAACCAAAATATACTAAACTAATTAATTAATATTATTTTAATGTAATTAAAATAAAGTAATTAAAGGGGTACATACATTGTAAATATTTCTTTTTTGCGAAACAAATCGGTCTCACCATTCGCTAGCAAATGCAATGATTAGCTAGCAGTCGGCAGCAATGATAATTCTTGAATTTTTGTTACTGATGATAATATCTATAAAGAAGACATTCTTTGCTACTTATGTAAATATGATAGTTAATCAATGTCCACAATAAAAGAAAGCCTTTATGAGATTGAACAATAAGAATAGTCAATTTGCATTAGACATTCAAAGATGCATGTAATGGCATTTGGATTATTAGGTGATGATAAAGAATATGCCGATATACTATCAGAGTCGATTTTTGAGGAGCCGAGGAGTAAATGAGTCACCTTTTAAAAAATTTTTAAATATAATTTTTATATAGGTCAGGAGAATCAACCAATCCAACCACTTCAGCAAGAACTGCATAAATTTCAGCATAATGAGTAGATTCAACCAATTTTAGTATTACCAAACGAGCTCTAATTGCACTATCAAGTTATTCATTGTCGCGTAAAGTTATCTTTATACATTATCGTTTATTTTAATTTTACTTGCAATTTTTAATACGATTCAAATTTTCATTTTCTTACAACTACTGCTACGTACATATATAATAAAAGTCATAGCACATAAACTTTGTGTTCTTTTTTATTTTTCATAATTACACATCATGTACCACCGTATTTTAAATAAGTTATGATTCAATTAATTCTAGATACACCCATGCATCGCACTAGTATTGATATATAGAATTTGTCTATATACAGACAACTATGTCTATGTAGACAGATAAGTGTGACAAAGGTGTGTACAAAAAAGTGTACACCAAACATTTTTCAGAATTTATTATCTATTTATATAAGGGTAATTATGTATGTTTACATGTGCATGGTATCTCTATTATTCAAATTAAAAACGAGTGTTTTTTCCAATGTAAAGTTGTTACTAAGGAGTATTAGTTTTGTCGTTATTCCAAGATTAAACTGGTGATATAGCATTTAAACTCATTTAGTAACTTTTGGCTTTGACTTTTGAAACTACTGAAAACTAGTCCTTTTTGTTGCACTCACTTTTGCACACACATTTGTACAAATGCTCCCTTGTTTTTAAAGAATTGCTTGTGTACACAAGCAAAATAGAGATTGAGTGCAAAAGTGGGTATAAACAGATTCTTTGAAAACGGTTGTTCAACAACAATAAGTTAGAGTAGTTGTCAAAAAAAGTTCAAAGTAAAACTGATTTTTTAATTTTTAATTTTTTGATCATCCATAGAAATTCTTATCCACGTGCGGTTTTCGCCTTTGGGTCATCACGCAATTTATACCCTACGACCGGCACACCATGAGGATGGTGTGCCTGGTCCCTAAAAAACCTGTGGAAAAGAAAAAGGGACCACCGTTGTCCCATCCACCACAGAAGCCTTTCGCATCCTCGCAGCCCCCTCCCCAACCCTCGCACCACAAGATACCACCACAGCACTGGCGGGGAGCGCCGTCACACTAATTCGCAATCTCAAATCGATCCAACTGCAGTAGCTTTCTGATTCAGCACAAGAATCGAGACAGAAAGAGAAGAAAATAGTGGCAGTGCAGACCTATAGTGGCGACAATGGCGATGGAAGTGAAATGGTGAGTCGGTGAGATGAGTAGCGATGAAAACCAAATTGTTGTTTTAGTTTATATCTTCCTCAATTTACATGTTGGGTACACTCAAGTTACATCAAGATTTGCCTAAAGTTACACATCCCAAGTTACATCTAATTTGTTTTCAAGTTACATTTCTATTAAAGCAGTTTACATTTCAACGAGTTACATGTGAATGTGTGTAATTTACATTTCTGTTGAAGTTACATGTGAAATCACACGAGTCTGATCATACACCTTTTTCTTGTATTAACCGTACAGTTTTTTCTACTTCGTAGTTTGATGGTACTCCGTAGCAACAAATACAAATCCGTCTACTGTTAACAATAAAAAATTCTCTTTTGATGGTTTGATGATAAGATCAAGTTTTCAATTATTGCCACTCAGTCAACCAGTTAAAAGTCCACTCGAGTAACGTCACTTCACCACTTCCGAGTTCATCCAATGGCCAAAACGACTTCCTCCTCCGCTGACCACCACTCCTCGCCGGCGAACAACGGCGGCTTCAAGTTGGTGGGTTTCAACAATTTCGTCCGTGTCAATCCTAAATCGGACCATTTCTCTGTCAAACGCTTCCACCATGTGGAGTTTTGGTGCGGCGATGCTACTAACACCGCCCGCCGCTTTTCTTGGGGCTTAGGAATGCCTATTGTTGCAAAATCCGATCTCTCCACCGGGAACTCAGCTCACGCTTCCTATCTCCTCCGTTCCGTCTCCGGCGAGCTTCAGTTCCTCTTCACTGCTCCGTACGCGTCCTCCATGTCTGTACCTTCCTCTGCCTCCATCCCCGCCTTCTCTGCATCCACTCACCGCTCCTTCACCGCCGCGCATGGCCTCGGCGTACGCGCGGTTGCTCTTGTAGTCGAGGACGCCCGGACCGCCTTTTCCAACAGCGTCTCCCGCGGCGCGAAACCCGTCTCGGAACCGGTGACGATTAACAGCCAAGTCGTCTTCGCCGAAGTCCACCTATACGGCGACGTCGTGCTCCGATTCATCAGCTATCTAGCGGACCCCACCACCGTCACGTTCCTGCCAGGCTTTGAGCCCATGGACGGGACGGCGTCTTACCAGGACCTCGATTACGGAATCCGCAGACTCGACCACGCCGTTGGGAACGTCCACGAGCTTGGCCCAGTTGTTGACTACCTCAAGTCATTCACAGGATTCCACGAATTCGCGGAATTCACGGCTGAAGACGTGGGGACAGCCGATAGCGGCCTGAACTCTGTGGTGCTAGCGAACAACGAAGAGACCGTTCTGATGCCTCTTAATGAACCTGTTTTCGGGACGAAGAGGAAGAGTCAAATCCAGACGTACCTGGAGTACAATGAAGGACCAGGGGTGCAGCATCTGGCTCTAGCTAGTGAGGACATATTCAGAACAATGCGTGAAATGAGGAAAAGGAGCGCAGTTGGGGGTTTTGAGTTCATGCCTTCTCCTCCACCCACATATTACAAAAATTTAAAGGGCAGGGTTGGTGATATTCTGAATGATGAACAGATTAAGGAGTGTGAAGAGCTGGGCATTTTAGTTGATAGAGATGATCAGGGCACTCTTCTTCAAATCTTTACCAAACCTGTTGGAGACAGGTATATGAATCTCAGTGATGTTGATTATTTATTTATTAATTTTACCATATAGTACTCTGATTATCATTACCGGATTTGGCTGTCAACATATTAAATAATGTGATCATTGATTGATCGATCAATGATGAATTTCCTAATAAAAACTAAGAAAGAGGAAAGTCTTGCATCATATTGTTTCTTGCAAGTACTCTTGGTTTTGGATTTGATGATATATGAACTATTTTTATTTAGGGAAAAGTACGGAAAAGATACTTGTGGTTGTACCCGTTTTCAGATAGAGTCATGTGTTTCATTCTTTATCAAAATGGTTCATGTGTGTGAATTCCGTTATCACAAGAGGATCACGCCGTTAAAAACGTCTGAAAGATACCGTTAAAAGTAACTCAGATTTTCAAAAATGCCCGAAAAATTAGAAGAAATATACCGGAAGGTGCGCCTCAATAATACGACCGTTAGGCCATCTTTATTTTTTGTTTTCAGCCACCCTTGTCATCGGAAAGTCAATCGGAAAAGTGATATTAGCGAAATCATTTTAAAAAAATAATTCAAAAAGGTCTGAAAAATCCAAAGGCGAATCCATTAATAATATGAGCTGACTCATTTAATTAATACGAAGTATATAAATTGTCCCAATTGGCTTAGATCCGTAGGGATCCAATTTGCCTAATTATTCATGGATATTAGATGAACTAAAGAGTGTGAAGTAGTAAATGATGTAGGTAGGATTTAAACAGGCATGCTTCATATTTAAAGACCAACATAGAGTCTATTTGGCAAGCATTATTTGGCTGAAATGAAATGATTGAATCTGCTAATTTTTGTGGAAGGAAAGCCATATGTTGAAAAGAATCTCAGATAAAAATAAACAGGTTAAAAGTTACTTATTCTCATTATTCTCCTAATTATTCTCCTAATAAGCTGAATCCTTCAACCAACCAGGCTCGTAATCTATCTAATGGTACCATCGCATGCCTTTGTTTCATGTTTGTTGAAAGCAAGGATGAGTGACTGGTGTATGGGTAGACAGAAGGAAACTATATGTCTATTATCTCACATAAACTTGGAGGGAGTTATTAAAATGACTACTCCTTCTGAAAGTCCCATGTATAAGTCTACAACTCAGGATCAATTGTTTGTTTCTTTTTGTTGTGGTCCAGGCCTACAATGTTTATAGAAATTATCCAGAGAATTGGGTGCATGATAAAGGAGGAAGGGCAGACCTATCAGAAGGGTGGTTGTGGAGGATTTGGTAAGGGTAACTTCTCTGAGCTTTTTAGATCTATTGAGGAATATGAGAAGATGCTTGAAGCCAAACAAACTACTGCTGCTTGAAACTTGAAGTAACAACCTCTATTGGCGCAGCGGAAAACAGGCAGGAGAAAAGCACATAGTATGTGTATCTAAAATTATGTAGTGCAAGTGTGTTCTTTACATAAATTAAATATGGTATAATAAAAGGTGAAATTGAAGTCTAAATTGTCTTTTTTATGGCATTTCTTTAAAAAAATCTCAGTAAAAGGCTTAAGAAAATAAAAACTATGTAAATGAGCTTTGTTTATAAGAACATAATTTTATGAATTAAATATTGCTTTACTTACTCGGGAATGATCAATAACTTTTGGACGAGAATATATTATTTTTACAAACTGAAAGACCTCTTATTACTTTTCGAATCTCATTGGTGCATATCATATTACTTAATTTTCCCTTTGATAATATCAATTTAATTATTCATGTAATCATGTAGTAGATACTCATATTAACCAATGAGAAGGAGCATGCAAATGAGATGGTAATCTCGACTAGTCGAGTTTGTTTGGTGAGAGTTATTTGACCGAAATGAGTACATTGAAGCTTTTGAAAGCAAATTATATCAAGTCATCAAGTAATGGTATGCAAGTCTGTTTGGTTGAATAGAATAAACTTTTAATAACCAAGACTGTTATTTGATTGAAGTGAATAAACTTTTGAACTTTTTGAAAGAAAACGCATTTTTGCACAATCATCCTTAGTCTACTAATGAAGGCAAAAGGTTACTTGATCGAACAAATGGAGTCTAAAAACCATAAATATAGGCAATAAATCACATAACAATACTATATGGTTCTCCAAAAGTTCACTCTGCAACACCCCATTTGAGAATATCACTGTCATTATAATGGTTCAAAAAGGGTTATTTATTCACACAGTATTTGCATTGATCTGAAGAGCATGCTCATTCTCCACACATACATTCCCACCCTCCGATTCTTCTTCTCTACTATGTCTGCATTTGGTGCCACTGCCTTGGCTAGAACTGGGAACATCTTCAATGTTGCTAAGGCTGATCTCTTTTGCCTCCAGGTATAACTGCTTCACCAGGTTCTTAAAACGCCTCCGATATGTAGGCATGCATGATATCGATTTACCAATCCCCTGCAACCTGTTATGTATTCATGTATAGAAGATAATAATGATTAAATTGATTGGATTATTGTTAAGAGTTCCCAGACAGAAATGTTAAAGATGTTGCATATGAGTTCATAAGGTCTTGAGTTGACCACTTGGCCTAGCTCATTGGTATATTCAATATTTTAGTGTAATTTACTAATTTGGCTTATGCGGTTATGCCTACTGTCAAGATAATTCCCGAGTTGAGGATTTTAAAACTAACCTGCCATTTTGGCAACACATTATCAGCTTCCTTAGGCAAACTTCTTCTTCATCTCCAAGTTGAAGTATCTTCATTTGCTCCTTCATGACTAAAAGTGGTCCAACAAACCACTCAAATATTATGTCTTGCGGGCAACTAGTCTTTGTTAACTCCACTCCATCAACTAAAGAGCGAGAAAATGCAAACATTTCAGAAATATTGCATTCGACAAACTCAACAGAATAATAATTGCAATGCACCTACATATGACCAAGCCAGCCGAATAGGACTTTGCTGATTCAAGAAGGCACTGTAAGATGGAGAAGGCAGGAAGTTTGACATCTAGGTTCTTCGAATTTCCCTTCACAACGTCGTCCACAATATCTTCGATAGCTATTAGACCTTCATGGAGTAGTGTTCTTCCATTCACCTCGCACGATTTAAAAAGCCATCCCCAGACCTGTTTCAGTAAAGCTGATTAGTTTTATGCTTAAGATTTGATGTTTCATTTTAATAAATCCAACCTTATAGGCGGAGTAATCAAATAACTTAACGCTACAGCACACAAAAAGTTTAGCATGTTCAGCCTATTATAGAAAGTGTGTGTACCTGGGGACCTGCAATAGTGTATATTTCTGCTTAGCTTGCCTTGGTTGTGTAGACCCCCATACCCGGACTTCGTGATTCTTCCCTTTCACTGCGATGATCAATTGAGTTGTTTCTGAGTTCATCTTCACTAGAAGAACTTGTGTCTCTGCGGTATCTAGGCCTAGATGTCAAAAGATACTACACTATCAACATTGTTCACAATGTGAGAAATCATTGGTGTGTACACAGTACACACACCGCGACCCTTGTCCGGTCTGGTCCACGACACGACAGTCCCTATCATGTCTGATTGATGACCCAGCGGTCACTATCATTTTCGATCGATGACCCGACGGTCCCTGTGCGGTCCGATCCACGACTAAGCGGTCATGGGCCAGTCCCATCAACGACCCGGTGATCCCTGTTTGGGTCGGTCAATGACCCGGCGATTCAGTCTCAGTTATTTGAAATCACTTTTTAAAGTGAAGAGTTTTAAAAGAACCGTTGAATTGTCAACCAATAGGAAAATGGGAAAAGAATTCATCAAACTAACCGTCGAGATCGATCGGGCCCGATCGGTTTCGGTCCCGACTTTCCTATACGTGGGACCTGTTACCCTACTTGGATTGTAATAGGTTTGATTTCGGAATGAGACCGTACTTTTAGTCTTCTGAAACCGGGTGAAAATTTTTAATGAACGTGTTTTCAGATTTGAAAATGGAAAACTAAAAAATGAAAAACAGAAAATTGGAGATAGAAAAACTAGAAAATGAAAACAGAAAATTGGAGAACGAAAAACAGAAATAGAAAACTGGAAAATATCTCTCTGAGTGTAAAACAACAAAACCTCTCTTATTAATTCTGAACCTGTTGCACTTCTAAACAAATAACAGGAAGCTCTGCATTTTTAACACAGTGTTCAATATGGGGACATCATATAGGGACAGAAGGACAAGAGTCGCCAAGACGACAACTATGCATCACAATCAGCTAGTGTCTTCGGTTGGGCATTTTCTTTTTTTGGTTTATAAAATGAAGATTATATGGATGATACTTTGCTTATTAGATGAAGATGATGGTGATGCTAATGATGATATGTAGTCCCATAGACACCCAAATCATAATTAGTAAATTGTTATCCACTTATCCACGGGCTGATTTATCATGTATGTATGCATATGTATGTATATATCATGTATGTATGCGTGTTTGTATCATGTATGGATGTATGTCTGACATATATTCTAACCAATGAGTGAAAGAAGAAGGTGAGAGGAGGAGCAAGAAGAAGCCACTCATTTGATGATCTATCATGCTAAGCTACAAACTTAAACTGATTATTATTAAAAATACATTGCAAGCTCCATAAACATCCAAATCATAATTAGTAAATTATTATCCACATGATATATATTCGTAATAACTAATAAGGAGTAAAAATGTGGACATTTTCGATTGAGCTCTTCTTATCTAATTTTATGATCATTTTATGCTGCAACTTTACGTGCCTATTAAAAAGATTATATTTGCAACATTCGATTCTAAAACAATAACGTTTTAAATTTAAATAAAATTGACATTGATAGAGAAATAGAAATGGGGATGTCACGTGCAACTAGCGCGCAAAGAGCGTGCAACTTACGTGCAAGTAGATTTGACAAGTACTATCATATGTTTCTTTTCTTTTTAGTTGCAAAATGTTAAACTATTGGCATGCTCTATATTTGATTAAATATTATATAATAATGTTCGAAAATTATTATGCAAATATGGAATGATTATGCAAATATGGACTGTAGCGGTACTCTTAACACAACTTCTGAGGAAGCTTTTGGAGAATCATACTCTACTGATAATTTCCTTGGTCATGTCTCGGAAAATGAGAAAAGAGTTCCTATTTCAACGTTAGATCATATTTGGGATTGTGATACTAATGAAGTTATTTGTCAAAAAGCTTTGTTGGTCACACGAGATAATTGTTTACCCACACAAAACCTGAACACCCAAAAGAGAATGTACAAAAAGACGAATTAGAGATCACACAAGAGCGGGTCTTTGAAGATTCTACTTAGGACTAAGGGGTTTTTAGGGAGTGATTTCATTGCTTTGGGTTGGGTACTGCTCTTATTTGTCTCTGTTTTTTGTTGTTTTTCTTTTTCTGCGTTTTCTTTTACATGTATTTTCATTAAAAAAATGTACGAAAATTATTATTTTTCAACAACATTGTTGAATTCGTTTTGTTACAAATTTTCATAATCTGAATTTTAAACTTTTTTACTAACAGAGAATTAAATATAATGACGGTCAAAGTTGTGCATTGGTAAGTGTGAAAATGGGAATGTTGCAACTAAAAGGTAATGATGAAATTTTTTAGTTCTCTAAATAGCTTTCAAGTTATAATTTGGAAATTGTTTTTTAAATTTTTGCATTTTTGTGTAGTTGTTAAATGTTGTACAGAGATGTTAAACTTATGTTGTTCTTCTTTTGGCAAAATTGGTTTAAAAATATCTCTATTCACCCCCTCTTCTAAAAAAATCTACATCTCATTGCTTTGCTTTAATTAGTTACCACTTCTTGAGTATAAGGGTGTGTGGCCTATAAGGAATAATGGATGGATTTTGAAGTATGGCATGACCGCGGATGAGCGAGATATTTCTCATTCCCTACCTAAATACCGGGAGTGACATGATGTTATACCCACTTCATCATTAGACTCAACACCACAAAAATAAAACACGACTCCTCAAAAAGAAATCAAGGGCAAACGTGCATCCAGGAGTATATCTTCTTGTTCTTGATCATATGAAAGGAAACGTGCTTCCTGAAGTATATCTTCTTAGTCCTCCTTTTTTGCATCCTAACCCCCTCTGCATTATTGGATTCCCCTTCACATACATCCTCTTCACTCTCTTCACTTTCATGATCATCCTCTTCAATAGACACAAGTACACAACCTCCTCTTCAATAGACATGTGCTCTTCCCTTTCATTGGGCTCTTGGTTTGTCTCTTCATTTTAACCTCTAATGTCCCTTTCATTTTGTGTTTCTTCGGTAGCTAGTGGACGTAAAGGGAGGATTTCAACTAACTACACATCGTCTAACCTGTGCTCTACAAAGATGTCACATTGTCCACAACTTCTGGCCACATCAATTAAATGTAAGGTGGACTTCTCTAAACAACTCATGTAAACTCCCCATAGGGTCCTTAAATTAGGTTTCTTAAAATAGAGTGCATCAATATTTCCATAAGTACCATCCTTCAAAATTTTCATGACACATGGGTAGCAAGTTAAATCCGGATCGATGTGTACACTATCTACTTCACCACCCTTGTACACACTTGGGGTTGTAAATGAAATTCCCTCCATGATGAATGATAAGTTCCACTTGTTCCAACATCATGTTGGTAAGTAACGTTCAATGTACACCCAAAGATTGAATCAAAACAAATATCAAATAATTACGTGAACACAAAACAAGTTGCACACACCAAACATGTCTAAGGACCTTTAATAGGAAGACGACATATGTAGGGTAGTTCAAGTACTGTCGTATGCGTTAAAGTGCAAATGATAATTTCACTTTCATACGCTCCGAGCCTTGTTCAGCCCTATGCGCGCATCTACTGTTGTTCTGCACGCTCTACTTCTAATCTCTGCAAATTTAAAATTGGGGTTAACTAGGATTTTGAGATGAAGACCATGTTAAGCTATTATACATTTTATCTACCTTAGTCAGCACTTACGTCGATAATAAGTGCCACCTCGAAGGCCACATGCTTATATCAAATGCTAATCGGTCATTAAGCCGGCTACATAAAGGATTTGAAAATTTCAAATGCATCAATGGGTGTGATTGGATGTTCTTTTAGTTGATGAGTTTAATTGACTTTTTTGAAAGGTGACAACTCCGGTACCTTTCTAAAAAATGGGGTACTGTACCTACCATTCATTTGATTGGACCACACCACTTTATCATTTTTAATTTAGATTTAAATAATTCAACTGCTACATTCTCATTGGTCCATGTGGACAAAGGTATGGTACCTAATGGGTACCATAGAATCTACCTTTTTGAAATTGAAGGGAACACTATATACTTGTTGTTATTAATAAAAAATAATAACTCCCTCATCCCTACTATAAACAAACCAAAGTGGAACAACAACCACTTCCCCTGCCCATTTTACCGGGTAAAAAATGGGTCGCTTAATACGGGCCTGGGTCTGCACAGTCTGTGTACACATCTATTGAGAGAATTTCTTTTTCCAAATTTTGTGATTTATGAAGTACCAAGATCTTTGAGAGATTAATGAATAACGATTTCCAAGCAACAAATTTTGATTCCCAAGCATTATTTAGGTTTTAGTATTACACTTTACAGCTTCAGCGACTATGAGAGTATCTTGCTTATCTGGTCAAAATACATTAAATACATAATATTTCTTCAATTGTAAAACACCTTTGATTTCACAACAACAATAAATGAGGTACGTGAATGATTCAGGTTATTATTCAGCGGATATTACATATTCAATGTAAAGAAAGCTAAGACTAGAATTTGATATCCCTTATAAATAGGGTCATCTACACCGTTCGAAACCACAACACACTATGGATCAAATTTTTGACAAATTTTATCAATCATTACAAAGGGTACTAGACAAGACATAGTAAATGCCACAATTAATTCTTCATATATTTGACATGAGTGCATTATGTTACGTTTGACGAAGGACATGAGGCTGCAGTCACTGAGTGAAGATCATGAATATGAAGATTTGGTAGAGTTTGCAAAGTGGATTGCCAATTTAGGAGATAGTATTGCGGGCGAAGATAATGATGGATTTGTCGATGTTAAAATTTCAAGTGAAATTCTGTTAGAGTGTGGAGAGGATTTGATTGCCACTATTGTGAAAGCACCTATCTGGGCTTTGAGAATATTGCCAATGACCCGTCGTACTTGCAATTTAGCTCCAACTCTTGATGTCGTGGATCAAATTAATGAATACATGACATCTCTGAATGTTAAGAAAGAGTCAAGGACATATTTGAGTTCTCATAGCATCTTCAAGTCAGACTCAAATGCTGATTTTTTGGGTGATTTGCACACCAAAATTTCTCAATAAAATCCGTACATCATGAGTTCCAAACCACGAGTTAATCTTTAAAGTTGGTACTCCAATACTGCTTCTGAGAAATATTGATCCTTTTTATGAGGATATGCAATGGAACAATGTTGATTGTTACACGGGCTTGAGAATCACATCATTGGAGCAAAAAATTAGGCAGGAAACATGCTAGATATGAAGTTATCATTCCAAGGTTAAGTTTGACTACATCAGATTCAAGAATATCGTTCAAGTTTCAAAGATGACAATTTTCTATCCTAACTCCTTATACAATGACAATAAATAAAAGTCAAGGTCAATCTTTGTCGCATGTTGACCTCTCATTATAAAAGTCATTGTTTAAACATGGTCAACTTTATGTTTCAGTATTGTGAGTAACAAATCGTAAGAGTTTAAAGATACTTGTTTGCGATGAAAACGGGGAACAAATCAACCATACTACCAACGTTGTTTACACGGAAGTCTTTTGAAGTGTGTAGAGTACGGATTTCTTATTGTAATATTTAGTTTTTCCTTACTTTCCCAAAACACTTTTTTTGGAAGACTCTCCCAAAACATTATTCATAATTTCATACCAATTACGAGTCATAAGTATATTTTCCTTAATTATAATTATTTATATGTATTACATATATACTCTTTCCATTCATTTAGACATTAACCGTTAATATTAACATATAATGTGATATAACTATTACTACATCTGTCCCCCTAATATTGAGAGGAAGGGAGTGATGTTGTTTTTGCAGAAAAGTACAATTATGTGTTTGATAATGAGTTGATAAAGTGAGAATAAAATAAGAAGGAATTAGAATCACAAGAACATTAGGAAATATGATATGATGAAATAACAGGACATACAAAAATAAAAAATGAGATAAAAACAACCGAGTGTCTTTCTCCCGGTCTCAGCACTTCTCATTTCTTATTTCTTATTGAATGCAAAGAGGGAAGCATTTGTTCAAAACCTTCCGGCAAACCTATCGGCCTCTCTCCACGGCACATCAGGTTCTCTCTCTTCCCCTCTGTACAATTTCGACGATCAATGTTCCTATATACACTTCTTTTTATGTGTACAGATGGGCGAGCGTTACAGCTTCAATCCGAGCTTACATTGGAACCCCGAGGTGGAGGACTACTTCACCAAAGCTTATGGAGCTCAACACTTTGCTCGCATCTCCACTTCCCTCGCGTACGTACTGTTCCAGTCTTTATAATTGTATCCGCTTTCACGACTAATATCGTATTTTTTGACTGTCCTGCTGTCCTCTGTGCTTTGTTCAGGCGGCCTTCATCTTACTCATGTATTCGTGTTAATACGCTTAAGTCCACAAGTGATAATGTTATTGAGAAACTTCTGAAAATTTTAAGGGAAAGAGGGCAAGAAGGTGATACTATTAATACAAGTAGTACAGATTCAGAAAATTTCTCTGAGGCAATAGTGGAATCCAACGGAAGTAGTAAAAGGACGAATTTTGATGCAAAAAGCATCTCAAAATGTCCATTTCCTGGACTAGATTATGTGATTTTCATTAAAGGCTCAGGGCCACATGCTATTGAATATGAACAAGAAGAGGGTAAACCGTTGAAAGAGGTGATAGTGAGCCGAAAATGTGCAGAGGCTGTTCTTCGTGGTGCCCAAGTAAGTATCTTGTTCTAGTCATTGTGCTCTACCACGTGTATAATGTATCTATTGTGTTGTTTCTGGTACTGCCACTAAGTGAGATACACTTGCATAGCTGCATTATTTACTTTTGCATTTATTATGGACCTTCACATGTTCAAGTAAATTAAAGTTTTAATGACTTTATTCCATACAACTTTGTACATTTGTACATTGTCTGTCCAGTATCTCAAAGTTTTCATTTTATAGAACTTTTTATCCATAAAAAGATATACATGTGATGAAACTATCGCATAATGGAGTTTCTTAGAAAAGATAAGTTCCATGTACTTAAAATCTGCTCCCTCCATACCAAATTTAAGTTTACAGTTTGACTTTTTGAGTCAAACTTTGTTATGACCGTTAATTAGTCAAAAGCCGTATTATTTTACAATAAAATAATTTTGAATGCTTCATTTTAATGTATATTATTGAAATGTTAGTTTATTATAGTAAGTGTATATTTTTATATATCAATGGTCAAATGTTAATATTGGAGACCGTGAAATGTTGATTGTAAACTTGATTAAGGGACGGAGGGAGTATTTCTTTTTATTACATTCACAATGAGTTCTGTAAATTTGCTTCTTTAAGTTTTTTCCCTCTAAATTATCTATATCAATATTCAACGGATATGAACATTCCTTTGGAAAACATGCTTATGCATGTTTCTTTGTCAAATATTCTAAGTAGTACTGTAGTATGCAATGGTTTTTTATATTCATGAATGAACATTGAACAGTATAGGTTTTCCAAATGTATGAAGTGGGCAAGAAATGCATGATATCTTTTATTGATTTTTATCATTGGTTTGCAGGTATTTGTGCCTGGTGTTTTGGCCTGCAGTGCTCATGTTGAGAAAGGTGATTTTGTTTCAGTTTCAGTTGCCGTGGAACAGCCTGATTCTGAAGGCGGATGGGGTATCGGTATGACACGTGGGACTGTCCTCCTAGGATCCCAAACTGGTACTAATACTTTTTTCTTTTTCCTGAATTTGAGTACACATCTTCTCTGAATAGGATGGCCTTGTTCCTGATGTGTCATACTAATATATTTCAAATTTGCACGGTGTTTTAATGGGTGTTATGTCAAAACAATGGCTGTTTTGATGTTTGATGTTTCTTCAATCTCAAGTTTTCTTTATTTCCTTTCAATCTTCACAGATCTTCTCAATCTATATAAGTTATTTGTGCTTCCCTCACTCATATCTTTAATATAACTTTGTTTGTTACTTGTATTAGTTTCTACAGGATTTGCATTTCTGGTAACGAGTTGTAATGTGGTTTCAGATCCTCTTTATTGTGAAAGAAGTGGTCTATATATTGGTCAAGGAACCACAATGTTGTCACGAGCCGGGATCTTTCGTGTATCAAGAGGAGTTGCAGTTCATATGCGTAATAGGGTGTATGAACTATCATCCTTTAATGGTATGCTTCTTCTTTGTTCATATATATTGCATTAAGGTTTTGGAGGCTTTATGCCATTCATATGCATGGCTATACAGATTTCCTCTTCCTTGAATTTGTCATGTAAATAATGAACTGTGATCAGATTCCATTGTATCATCATTGTATCTCATGATAGGCTCTATATTTTTTTCCTCGACATATATAGATATAAGTTCATGCTGTTAGTAATGCACCATCGTGTCTTAAATGGATTACTGTTCCTAGGAAAATTGGTATTTTATTTCTTTCATATTCTCTCATATACCACTAGATCCTAGTTATTGGTTTCCGCTCCTCTATCGTTTCACTATGTTTTTTCATTCTTAAAGTTTTGTGATGCAATCTGCATCTTTAGATTTCATACAAATACCACAGTCAATTAGGGTAGTTTGATTAATCAACACTAACAGTTAAATTCCTGTCTTATAGATTTGCTTGAGGGTGAAATCTTTCTTCAAAATTTGCCAAGCATTGTAGCTGCACATGCCTTGGGTATGCTTTATCACACATTTTGTTACTTTGTTATCACAAATTTATCTATGAGATTTATTGCACATTTCCTGATATATTACAGATCTCAGATATTTATAAGAGTATACCTTTTCTGGTAGCACTGCAGTGCTATAACATGATATGGCTTGTGCAATCACACAGTAGATGTTCAGATATGCCAAGAACCAAAGTTATTGAAGTATAATGGTTTCATTTTAGTAATTTCATGCTTAAGTGTATAAGTTTTCATTTAAGCAATCAATCGCAGTTTGGAAATTTTTTAGTCCATACATGATTAAAGTTAGATAAAATCTGTAAACCATGCAAATTCAGCTACTATACTGATGATGAGTTTACCCACTCAGAGGCTCAAGGTGCCAATGATGTAATGGATTAAACTATTAACCATGAAATCATTATTTCCCTTATATGCACTATGTAAAACTGTAAAAGAAGAGCTGCTTTAAAAGAAGTGCCACATTAGGTATTTGTTTTTTTGCATGTGCTGAACTGTAGAAGTTCCACTTAGTAAATTGACGGTGGAAACACTTTTGTTATAATATGGCCCCTTAAAAATCTTGGTAATGCACAACAGATTGCATAAAAGATGTCTATCTGGGTTAGATTATAGTGGTTAATGGTAAATGAATACCTCGATTCCCACCTGTTGGCTTATCATTTCCTTTCCTCAACCTGTTGGCTCAGATCCTCAACCAGGAGAGAGGATATTGGACATGTGTGCTGCTCCTGGTGGAAAAACCACTGCAATTGCAATTCTTATGAAGGACCAAGGGGAGATAATTGCTGCTGATAGATCTCACAACAAGGTGCTCCTTCTGAACTTGGCAGGTGATTGTATTTGTATTATCTGTATAATACACTATTTATTAAACATGCCTTGCTTCTGGAGACCTTAGGTGCATGAAAAGTGCATAATGGAAGCTCCATTATGGTCTGTATAATTCAGGCAGTATCTGGTTTAGGCTTTAAAAGCTATTTGATAGGAACAACGAAGCGCGCACACATATATACATTCAATTCGGATACGATTTGTCATTGCAAGCCCACCCCACCTATTTTTCTGCATTCACTGGATGATGGTCATTACTATGCCTCTTTTTGACAATGTTACTTTCTTGTGGGCGCTGAATTTCAGAAATGAACATCATAAGTATTGCTGAGAAGCTTATGGATGGTTCAAAAACACAAGTTTGAATATTTGATGTAAAGAATATGATGAAATGTAGAATAGAGGATTTTTCTGTTGCAATTTGTACAACAATTAATGTGATCATTTTTTTGGTCTTGTAGGCGTGCAAAAACCATAGATCCAAAGATCTTGTTGAAGCCTCCGTTGTTTAGTCTTTTGATTATCTTGTATATCTAAGTCAAGATTGGTCTAAGATTTAATTCATCAGCCAAGTTCAGTACTGATGCATATGTTGATAAGTTTTATACTCTTTCAAACTTTACAAATGTGCCTTGCTTGTAGACACTTTTTAAAGTAGAAGGAAGGTAAGTTAATTCAGAACTACTTATACCATTGTTTTTTATTAAAAACTCGGGCTAAAACTGCAGGTGCTTGATATTAAAAAATTGGTTGCTGAGATGGGTTTGAATTGTATAACTACATGTAAACTTGATGCACTGAAAGCTTGTCGTCGAACACGTGAAGATGAAAGTTTGCGTATTCTCAATGTCAGTGATGAAGTTCAGAGTACTCCATCAGATACATTACTGTCAAGGATGTGCGAAATCCAACCCATTGAGACGGATGGTTTGGATGCTGCAGTACCATCTCAGATCAAATGTTAGTACACCATGTGTATTTTGAAGATTAGTTAGCATGTGCTTTCATTTGCCACATTAGTGTGCTATCTATTTTTGTGCATCTCAAATTATCAATGATTCCATTGTGTAGTGGTCTAGTGTGCGTTTTGGTTTTAATTTTAACTCTTGTCAAATGCATCAAACACACAAGATATCATGTCTCTCACTCGATCACTGTGAGCCAACAATTGTTTTGATGGCATTACCTTAAATCATATGTTCATAAAATTACACAGGAAGACGTTGTGAGTTATCATACAAGCGCCTAACTTCCGTATTATTTTAGCTGAACCCATGCATCAGGGAAGCAATGATTACACAAGCAAAGCCGAATTACGGAAGAGTATTAGGAAAATGAGAAATGGGCCTGGAAGGAATAACTGTGCTGGTGGTAGAGCTGAAAAGTCCAAAGGATTTGCTCCAAATAGCTTTGACCGTGTTCTCCTTGATGCTCCTTGTTCTGCTCTAGGTTTGAGGCCTCGACTCTTTACTGGGGAGGTAAGCTACATTTCTTACTCCTTACCAACACAATCCTTACCAACATGTATTATTATTATCAGCTCATTTTCTTCCAATTTTGCTGGTTCGAACCATATTTTAAAAAATTTGCAGCATTGATTTAAAATACTTTGATGTCACCACTTAGTTTTATACTCCCTATATACCTTCGAATCTTATCAAGGCACAACTGACCAAATTATACAAACCAAACACTTGTTAATTTTCTTGAGTTCTTTAATCATACTATGATGTTCAAATTTTACCTTCTTTTATTATGCCTTCTAAATGTATACTTTTTAGAAAATAAACATGAACACTATTTATTTGGGCCAAACAAAGAGAAGAAAATAAAATACTTCGTAGGGAAACAAAATGCCTTATAAACGCATCATTCGCCAATTTTAAATCTGCCTCGTATTAAGAACTAGAGGTAATATGATTTATCTTCTAAATTAAGAGGGCTTGAAGATCACCATTGAGTACTACTCACCTAAAAGTTTACTCTTATTGCATCACTAATGAACATTTTAGTATGATCTTTTCAAAAGAGTCCAAACCGGCTGTTGTCATATGCAGGAGACCATTGAATCATTAAGGAAGCATGCCAAGTATCAGAAAAGAATGTTTGATCAGGCTGTTCAGCTTGTTCGGCCTGGTGGAGTTCTGGTGTATTCCACGTAAGTGTACACGCATTTCCTGTTTTCTTAATACTACATATGTATTATACACGCACATGCTTTTCTCAAGTGCTGTTTTTAGATCAAATAAATAAATAAATTATGTATTATGTACTGTAATATTAACACTTTTTACCAAAGTCATCCATGAAAAATATCTGCTTATTTGATATATAAAAACCTCAAATTTTTCAACCTTCAGATGTACCATAAACCCTGGGGAGAATGAAGCAGTGGTTCGATATGCATTGGATACATATAAGTTTCTCTCACTGGCAGAGCAGGTAACCCTGACATCATTCTCTTGTATTTCTATGGAAATGGGTAAGAGAATATTATATTTCAAGCTTTTCGAATTTATGTTATTCTGTGAGGTTGTAGAACTAACTTTCTTTGATGGGAATCACACTGTGTCCTTTCTTTTGTATTTGCTTAACTTGTTAATTGTAGCCTACAGAAAGTGTATGATATTACTCATACACTTGGTGTATGGCAAAGTTTCAATATGTCACTGTACAATCCACATTGGAAAATATCTTTTCTCATACCAGTATATATGGTCTTTGGATACTTATTTTATTAGGTTGACTTAATATGATATCTGAGCCTATTAATGTCAAAGAGAAATTTGATCTTTGTGAGTCTAAAAAGATCAGCACATAAATTTAAAGATTGGTCTTTTCTAATGAGCCAAATATTATTGAGCATCTCCTTGATTATGAGCTCTTCTTCATTTTCTAATAAAGTTTCTTTCTTTTAGAATCCAAGAGTTGGAGGACCTGGTCTTACTGGCTGTTGCCAGTTCTCTGATGGATTTATCGAGTGAGTCTTTATGCCTTTGTTGGATTATTTACAGTGAGAAATATGAGACTCATTGGCTTACAAACACAATGGCGTCTTGTTGACATCAGCTGGAATTACATTCTTGTATTTCTATACATTTTTAGTTTTATTTTATGACAATTAGACTGATTAGTCTTATATCTCACATTTAATGTTAAACCATCTCAGGGAGTGGTTGAAGCCTGGTGAGGATGATTTTGTTCAGAGATTCGATCCATCGTCACATCTTGACACGATAGGGTTTTTCATAGCCAAGTTCAATGTCGGGCCAAAAGTTGCCTGATTTGGAAATGCAGACTCAGCTCTTGCTTCACATTATGCCTATGCAATCCCAGCAAAATGAGCTAATGCATCCTGTGAAGAGCAGTATTGCTCTTTAGCCATGAATATACTTCAATTTATCACACCATAGCCTTGAAGACTAAGTTTATTCCATCTGGTAACTTGCTATGAATTTTGAACCATTGAAGTACAAGGAAGATTTTTAAGTGAGGCAGCACTGCAGCCATTCATTTAGTTGTAAAACAGAGTAGATTTCACTTCTGAACCTAATCTAAACGCAACACTTAATACATACAAAACTTCCCTTTTGTTTGTATTTATGGGTACATTGTTTAGCTTTATGCTTGCAGTTTATATCTATTGTTAGTTTGATGGAGCAGCTATTTTGTTTTATGTTTTGTTAATCTAGTGCTGGACATTATCCTGTTCTAGTCTGGGCCTCTGGGGTAAGGGGAGCTGTAACTGGGTAAAGAAAAAACTCCAAGTATAAAAAAAACGTTTTCTTTAAAAAAAACGTTATATTTGAGTTGGGCGTGTTCACAGCCCTAAAATTACTAATCACAGCCATTAAATAAAATAAAAAAACTAATATCTAAACTACCCTTCTATCAAGTATCAACGTTGGTGAAATAGTATTAACCATGGATACAATCTGTCTTCTTTATTCATGTGAAGTTGATCCTGTGAGGTAGGGTTGGACTCAGGTCCGGGCCGGGTCCGGGCCGGGCCTAGGCCCGGGCGGGCTGGCAGGTCAGAAATGGTGGACCCGGGACCGGCCCGGGTAACCACCGGGTCCGGTCCGGGCCGGGCCGGGCCGGGCCCATTATATTTTTTTTTGTTTTCCTCTTCCTAATTAACCCCCCTCCCACCCCAATACCCCAAACCACCCCAAATGGCCAAAAATACCCAGCCCAACCTGAAAAGTTAAAAAAAATTGAAAAAAAAAAAAAATTCAGCCCGAACCCGGCCCGGTCCCGGCCGGGTTGGGCCTTGTTTTGGGTGACCCGAGCCCGGACCGGAAAACCCACGGGCCGGGCCTACCCGGACCGGTCACTGACCGGGCCACCGGGTCGGGCCGGGCCGGAACAGTACCGGTCCCGGGCCGGTTCCGGGTCGGGCCACCCGACCCGAGTCCATCCCTACTGTGAGGGAGCCTCAGCCTGCAACTCGGCATTCTTGAGGATGCGACTACAGGGAGCCCCACGTCCACCAAAGCAACAGAGGCGACACTGAGCCCTTCCCCCGACCGGGAGCTCCTCTCCACTCACCCGGACAGCGGCGGTGATCGAAGTTTCTTCCGCTCATCCAGCAACGCTGGCCGGCAGCACCCCAGGGCAGAAGGACCTGGATTTGTCTTTCGTTTACATCTACTCCAAGCCCAAGACGCTCTGGGTCTTCATCCAGTTATGCAGGACAGCAGGAGTGAGGCTAAGTAATTAAAGATTTGGGTCGCTCGGAGAACTTTGACAGTCAAAATTCATAGAACGAATCCAAATCCAAATCCTCGTTGATCACTACTTGGTCATCTGGTCAACCCTATCACCCATGGTTAGGAGTGTAAATGAGCCAAGCCGTTCACGAGCCGCTCGGGACTCGCTCGATAAAAACTCGACTCGAGTTCGGTCATATTCAAACTCGACTCGAGTTTGGCTCGGCTCGAGTATTTAACGAGCCCAATTCAAGCCTATTTATTTTAGGCTCGTGGCTCGCGAGCCTGCTCGCAATCCTTGGTGTGTGTGTGTTTGTGTGTGTGTGTGTGTGTGTGTGTGTGTAAAAGGTATAATAATTATTTAAGTTCAAAGTTTCCACAAATGAGTTTGTAATTGAATGGAGTTCTCCTTAAGTAGTTAATATTGCAATCCATGTTTGAACCCCCCTTGAACCTAAATTTTGTTTCATGCATATTATTGTAACTTCGAGCCGAGCTCGAGCCGATTTTGACCTAGGTAAATAAATTGAGCCGAATTCGAGCATTAAAATTTGAGCTCGTTCGAGCTCGAGCCGAACTCGAGCATGATAAATATTTTCGAGCTCGAGCTCGAGCCTATGTAGGTTCGGGCTCGGCTCGGCTCGTTTACACCCCTACCCATGGTCTGATATCTCTTCGATATGTTGTTTTCGTGCTCATTTTCATCGACGGTATTGGATGAATTTTGGAAAATTCCTAAAATTTGAGCATTTTGGAGAATTTCAAAAAATGCTCGACTATATTAGCAGTTAGGTACTCCGTAAATCAAATGTTGACTAATGATAAAATTAGATTATTATTAATTATACTCCTTCTGTCCCTTAAAACTTGGCCAAATTTTCTTTTTTGATCGTTCCAAAAAAACTTTGGCATTTCTATTTAAAGTAACGAGTATTTGACTAAAGTTATGTCTTTCTCTTTTGCGCAAATTTCTACAACACAATTTTTACTTAATTAATCTATGTTCAAGTCAAATTTAGCCAAGTTTAGCCAAGTTTTGTGTAACAAAAAAATTATATTTTGAAACAACATACGAATTCAATTAAATGTTATTCCAAAAACCAAAGAAAAAAAGTATATGATTCCTATGATAGTAAAACTTCCGTTGATAATGAAAATGTAATTGATTCATTGCAAGTAATAACAAGTTATCAGAAACAATAACAATTGGTTCTATGGTGTAGTGGTTAGCACTCTGGACTTTGAATCCAGCGACCTGGGTTCGACTCCCGGTAGGACCTTTTTTCCTCGAAAAAATAATATCCATATTTTGGATATTTGGGCGATGTGGAATTATGAGTTTTGACAAAAAAGGGGCATTCCGAGAATCGAACTCGGGACCTCTCGCACCCGAAGCGAGAATCATACCACTAGACCAAATGCCCGGCTTGTTGTCTAATAAGGCATTTCATTATGTATTATTTAAACGTATTGTCTAAGCTATGCAAAAACCTAGCACATCTAACCTAAGTTACCTAATAAGTACGAGTAATAAACACTCCATTTGACTAGACACGAGATTAATATAGGAAAAATATGTATACACGTTCCGCAAATTGCCCATTTCTAGAAAATCAATGGGTATGTATACACATGAATTCACGATATAAAAATGCATGACATATTTAAATCATAACATTCATATTTTGAAACTACACTGCTCTATCCTATTATAATTGTCCAAATTTTCTTTTTCCTTCATTATCAATCACATAATTGTCCAATTTTTCTCACTAGAGACGAGATTAATATAGGAAAAATATGTATACACACTCCACAAATTGCCCATTTCTAATTTTTATTTTCACTTTATCAATTCATTATCAATCATTTCTCTGTTTTTTAAAAAAATCTCACCACTCTCTCTTACTTCATTCTTGAGTGAAGTAACTGTTTCAGAGTTTATGACCCATTTCAATAGACCAAATCACATATTGAAAACCTGGGGAGATATATGGCTAATTATGATTCGTTATAATTTGTCTTATTAATAGAATTTGGGAAAATAACTTCTATCGAATTAGAGACTAATCAATAATATAAATCTAAAACTCATTGATTTATCAAAAATCATTCTCCATCCGTCCCTATATTACTTTCAAACTTAATTTCCTTTTTTGTTCATCCCGAAATTATCTCTTATTTCCCTTTTATGCAAATAATTTTTGTTTTTACATCAATTCTTACACATTCTTACATATTTGTCTCTCATCTGCATAACTCTCCATCACACAATATAAACTATCTTAATTTGTGTGCTGGTACACAAGTAATAACAAATACTATAACTGTTTCTAGTCGACCAATTACTTTAACAAATATAAAAAATCAGTTCTCTTTTACAACAACACAAATGCATTTGAGTTTAAAGCAACTAAAAGATGCTCGCAAATTCATAAAAAATGAAAATAATGGGTGTTATAATGTAAAATGTCCAACTAAGTCATAACAATTTTAATCAAAATTAAAATAATTTTCTACATTCATTCATATAAACTGAGGTCTATCAAAATCAAAGTCACAGTTATTTAATGATCTTTGATTATATAAAATATATTTGAATTAGAATCAAGAACTCGTTTAGTAACACTGAAATTGGATGAAGCAATTGAATATGACGAAACTGCTTGAAATCGAGCTCTAATGGGTGATTTGGTTGAATGTTGTAAAATAAGAAGAAAAAAATATATTCCATTTTTTAAATCAAATAAAGAAAACAATTAAAATTACATTCTTCAAAAAAAAAACCAGCCAATTCAATTATAAAAGTTAGTACGACAGTCTTACCTTCTTCAGCAAAATCAATCAAATCAAATGTTTAGGGTAAAAAATTAACCGGCTAAGCTGAATAGCCAAATATAGAGATGTCAAACGGGCTCTAAATTATATGAAATCTTTGACATCATTTTGTACCTATGTTGCACGGAAACGTGAAAATCACGAGGAAACGAGAAACGGGAAACGTCAACTTTTACTCAAAAAACACTTATTTGGAGAGTTTCCAAAGAGTTTCCGGGAGTTTCCGAAATGGGAAACGTACTCTTTCACGAGAGTTTCCATGCTACATAGTTTTGTACCGAGTTATCCGTCATTGTTAATTCTGACATAAAACTAGGGTTTTACGAAATAGCACTATATAGTAAATACACATTATATTTTATTTAAATCCACAATATTTTCATACCGAATGATGTTTAGAAAAGCACATTTTCTTAAAGTGTTGAATTATACTACTCCGTATGTATTATGTAGAACAGGCATAATTAATTTTTCGATTTTTGAGTTAACCGACTACGAATCTACAATCATTTGCTAAATATGTAATCGTCCAGTAAATAAATCAATAAAATGCACCGCAAGTTTTCAAGAGTTTTAGTTACGTTTTTTATCCAGTGATGATTCTTGACATCATTCCTCGACCTCTTACTATAATTCTATAAAAGATGTTTTTTGCCATTAGGAGAAATAAATAAAAGGTTGCAATTGTTACTTTTGAATCAAATGTTGTGGCCTTTAAGAATGATTATTTTAGACCAACTTTCATTAGTTCATACATTTTAGAGCTGTTAAAGTTTCATATCTCTGAAAGAATTAAACAGTATAATAAAATCTAAAATACTCCTCCTAGACTCCTATGAGATTAACCTTTTAGAATGAAACCCCGAATCTTAACATGTTATCATAACCAAATCAATCCATGGAGTGCGCCCTCTTATGAAAAATGATAACACGATTATTACAAAAGGACAATGACGAACCGATAAAAAAAATGAATGATACTCCCTCCGTCCCAATTTGATAATCTTATTTCTTTTGGGTACAAGTTTTAATAAAGCGGTTGAAAAGGTAAAAATTGTGGTTGAGATTTGAGCATAATAAAGTGAAATGATATGGACCACATCTTTCTTTCCAAAAAGGGAAACAAGACCATCATTTTGGGACATCCCAAAACAGAAATACAGGACTGTCATTTTGAGACGGAGAGAGTAACACAATCCAAACGCAATGTCCAATCATGAGGAGGGTGTTAAGGTCTCACACCGAATATCTCTGAAAGAATTAAATACTATAATAAGATTTAAATTACTCCTATCATGTTGACTTTTTAAGATAAAACCCCTAAGTCTAACAAGTGTTATACAAAATATGCTGAAGAGAGATGCAAAATCAATTTTAGAAGAAAAATGAGAGCAGAAATTGTTTTTAGATTACAAATACAAATGGTTTTTAAGATGGGGTTATACTCGATTTTAGGTTAAAATGAGATGCAAACTACTCCGTATATTATACCAATTCATTGTTTTAGTCCTAGTCCACATCGTACTATACTACCACCTTCTAACAACAGTTCAACTGCAACCAAATACGCAAGCATACAAGGGGTGGTTCCAGGTTATAATTCTTTTTGTTTCACGCTGTTTTATAAAAATCAGAAAAGGAAACAGCAAAGTTTTATTTTGGAGGGACTGGAACTGGAACTGATCTGGACAAGTTCCCAACTTTCCAGTTCAGAACCAGAAAACTGATTTAATGAGAGCCCATTTCATCCCAGCCTCATTATGCATGAGATAAGTGGACCTGAATCGCACCAACTGAAGTTCATGTAATTTTAGCACAACCTCGAGCATACATATCAATGTTATGTAATCATACTTCAGGGTAATCAATGTTCTTGACACTAAAAACAAATAGGTGACTCCCTATTCCTCCTGACTGCTCCCATCTATTTAATGCTGCCATCATGGTTTAGACCATATTTTCAACCAAACGGGAAAAACGAACTCTTTCATCGTGATAATCTCACTGTAGTGAGCAAATGATGGTTACTAAGCTCAAGTGCCGCATCTAAACATTCAATAAACTAATTAAGATCATCACCCGATGACGAATCTGAGTCTACATGCATCCCAAAGTCATCTCTTGTTGCTATATCCTGAATGCAGGAAGTCAAAGATTATGGCACCAGACACAAAACATCAAGAAGATTGCAACCATTAGTTTAATATAATGAATATTTCACACCTGCTTTTTATCCCAGTCTTTCAACTTCGGATTCGTGGTTATCATGTAATTGTCCCTCAATGGAGCCCAAGCAGGGCCTTTTGACCCAACAGAAGAAGTTTCACCCTGCTTCCATGCAAATAAGAATATTCATTAACTGAATAGCAATTGAATGAGAAATGGCAACATGAAAAATTAAAGCATGTTTTGGAAAGGAAGAGTTAAAAAGTAGTGGTGATTCTTGAACATGCAAATAGGTGAGAGAGCACACGGTGGAATACCTTTTGAAAAACACTAGCTGGAGACTGCGATGAGGTCTTCCCCAACTCAGACAAAAAAGCATCTTTCTTTCGCTTCTTTATTACTAACAGATCAGACCATTAAAAAGTATTACGAACCAAAATGTGATCCGAAAACAATAACAGCATTTAAGGAATAATAAATCAGAGTTTTTTGTACATCAATTCATGCACGATGTTTATATATTACTCACTAATACTCCCTTCGCTCCATATTTTTCTTCTTACTTTTTTGCAATTTCCCGAAATTTGCATTATATTTCCATAAGCAAAGATATGTGTGGTTGATATTGCTACTCTACTCTGCTTTTTACTCCAAGGACAACCATACAATTTCACTTTCTTAATCATCCATTCATCCATCACTCATCATCATTACCCCAGTGCCACAATTTCACTTTCTTAATAAGGACGGAAAATCAAACTAAAGAAGATTTTGGAACAGAGGGATTAGCTATTGTTTGCTTCTCCAATTTGAATGGCCTTTAAGTTGATTATTGAGTGGAGAACCACAAGAAAAACATACTAACTGTTCCAACAACAAAAGCAAAAAAGAGGACCTAAATGATCTCAGGTGTATGCTTACATTGGACTATAAGAGTTCATTACTAAATGAAGTCATCTTATATAGCACCCCTACAACTTACGAGCAACACTTGGTTTCAGCACACTACTTAAGAAAGGATAGGTGTTTGAAAAAGGAATCGCAGAAACATTCGTTAATTTCACTTACTTTTTTCATCTTTTGACCTTGATGGATTTAAGCCTCTTTGAGCATTTTGAGCCTTGTTAACCTGGAATAGAAAAGAAACAATTAGCCATATAAATTCAAAAAGTTTCACCCAATGGAAACATCAAACATGTATATCATAAAGTGGCTGTTTAAAGATAGAACTTTGAGAAACAACTTACAGCATTGAACAACTTGACCACTGGCATTTCAGCAACACAGAAAGGGGATATAGAAGGAAGTTAGTTTCATGTCCTAATAAAACTAACTTATTAGAAGCTTAATATGGTACCTCCTTTCGTAGCAATTCCTATCAGAAACTTTTCATGAATATCCAAGTAGTTAGCAGGTTTGACGTGATTCTTTTCTCCAATCTTGTAAACAGGTGAGGATGGATGAGAATAGAACACAATATTAATTAAGCATGTGAAAATGTTATACTACCTATATACGTAGTAATAAAAGTATATATACCAAGTGTTTCTCCTTCTTTGCATCACCCTTCACTTTCCTTTCTGTTTCTTCTTCAGCAAGCTTCTCTGCTACAAGCTTCTTATGTGCTGATAACACCGGACCCTGCAAAAGGCCTTTCACTCATTATTATCATAAAAAATATCAACTTTTGTATTGTAGTATTACACACACAAATATCACTCATGCATATATAAAGCACCAAACCCACATGAAGATGACTATTAACTTTAAGCTTTAAAACTCTATGAGGTACACTGCTGTCAGCTATTGCTTATTCCCTTGATAAGCCATTACTAAATGATTAAATCAGACCCAACTATTTTTTAGAAAAGTACGCTGTGCACATATACTAAGGAGTCTAACAAAATGACCATTTTACCCATATTTGATCTGAATATTAATTCATTTTATTTTGTTTTAAGGTATAAAAGGAATTTATGTTTGAAGAGCTAACATGAACAAAAAAGGGATGATTGGTAAATATGCATTGAATTCTAAAAACAATAATTGTTTTGGGATTTTTTTTGGCTAAACAACTATTAATTTGGGAGTAAGGGAGTACTTGTTTTGATAGCAATATAGTACAAAGGTTGGATACCCGGTGTAGGGTTACATCTATGATAACTATATAACCTCCCAGCATCAACAAGAACACTTGTCATCATCTTTCAGAAAAGTGTTAGGCTTTAGCAAAGATTATGGGGTAGACTGAGTAATAAAGGCTATTTAGGTTACACTGGGATTAGCAGGGGACTAAGAGGTTTAAGCGCAGCTGAAATAAGAAATAATTAAAGTGTGAGGTGGCTACTGACCAATATATCATCAGAAGCAGTGTTTTTTAGTATTTTCTTGAAGGCCATTTTGAATGCCTTACATCCCTCCATGAACTTGGTAATTCCAGGCTGAATTTCCCCACCTTCGTCTTCTGATTCACCATTTTCTTCCCTGCCATCTCCTTCCTTGTCATCAAAAGAGTTGTCGTCAAATTCATCGTTTTCACCATGTAATGACGTGTCTCCCGCCACCTGGGTGGGATCTCCATTTTCATCATTCTTATCATCATCCTCATCTGAATTGTACTCTCTTGCCCTTTTTTGAAATAGCTTCTTCATTTTATTGCCTATCTTAGTTTTTTTCTCATTAAATGGCATCACCTTCTGCTTCTTCCTCGTTTTTCCACTTTTTTTCTTGCTCCCAATATTTCGTTTGTTCGTTCCCTTCTGTAATTCTGTCATTGTCCCTAATTCTTCAAGAAAACAAATATGTTGGTCTAGCAAGTTTCCGATTAAAAAAATCGGACTAATTTCAACATTCCCTTGTATCTGTACATAATGTAATAATAATAATAATAATAATAAATTAATAATAATAATAATACTGTTAATTTGCCACATTTTGCACAAAAACTAACAGGAAAATAGTAACATAAATAATGGCATGCTCTCTGGCAAAGAAACACCGATGCTGATTGCTTGAGTGTCTGTCTCATTTTTTATATTTGCTTTACTTTTCAGCATTCTGGTACAAAACCCTAAGCATCTATTGATATATAAAATCAAAAGAAATTTCCTAATGTGTTCCAGCACAAACATCCCCGCAGGATAATATACTCCTTATCCTAAAGAAAAAAATCCACAAAAAATAAGAACAATAATGTATAACAAAAGCCCATTATGTGTGATATCATGCAGCTACTTCTTGAGCCATGAGATAAGCTATTATACCATATCACCATAAATGCAAAGGCACAAACACACCGTGAATTTCCCCATAAATAGTAGCAAGGTTTTTCCAAATTAGCACCACCAAAGAACCCTTGGAATTTAAAGAATTAAAGGTCATACCAAACAACATAAAAGCACAAAACACTTAAAAGAAGTATAAATATTGCACACGCACAGCTTGTATAGCACATAAAAATGCTATATTTGTTCGTAAAAAACATGGAGAGTGAATCCTAACAAGTCAAAAATCCACTTCGATTTTAATTACAAACCCTAAATTAGGAGCCGAGAAAAGGGATGGAAAAGAGGTTATACACGAAAAAAGGTAAATACCACTACTTTTACCTTCTCTGAGTTAGACCCGTACGCAACACAATCAAAGTTTGAGTGGAAATGAACGGTGGTGGAGCTAGTTAGAGCAGATTGAAACCTGGAACTATTCTGGGGGGAGATGGCAGGGAAGAGAAGAAGAAAGCAAAAACTGTGAGAATATATAGGTAGTTTGGCACAACCAGCTGAAATACACTTATGATTTTTTTAGTATCTGATAGCTTTTGGTGATTGAAAAGATTTTAAAAGAAAAAGGTAATAGTTTTTTGATAAAAAGTTGACCGTTTGATTTAGTTCTGTTTGGTATACAAGCTATTGGGATTAATTAATACTATAAGCTACCGACTTTTCTCATATGCTACTCACTGTAGAATCTCAAAAAAGATTTTTTATTTTTTAAAAAGCATTTAAAAATTGACATGTCAAACATACAAGTAGAAGCTTTTAAATAGTACAAAAGCTAGAAGGGATGGACTTATGCCTCCCAAGCATGCACATCGATGGATCCAGCTCCCCAGAACAAAAAATGAATGGTACAAAGTACTCTCTCCTTCTCTTAAAACTTTCTTCTTCGATTGTCTCATTAACTTTGTCACTTTCCCTTTAAGTAACTAAGTACTCCTCTGCCAAACCTCAACCACATATTTTTTAGTTTATTAATTCTCGTGCCGGTTAAACTTGATCAAGTTTTAAGGGACAATGGGAGTATAAGATTAGTGATCTATATTTGACAGAAATCTCAATCCTATATAGACAGGCCTAGGTACATTTATTTACGACATGTAAGTTAGGAGTGGACACATTTCATATCACTTCAAATTCACTCAGCTTTTTTAAGGAATCTATAGTTCCTTTGAACGGGTTGGGCCGATCCAGATACATCCATTGCTATAATATAATAGGAACCTCACCTAACTTGCCCAGTTTGAAACGGATAGGTCCAATTCGGGTCTTTTGATTCTTTTTTATACAAACAAACAAAATAGTGATAACAATGAAATATCTTAACTAATAGTAGCATATAAAAAAACAAATTAGTGGTAACAATAACGAACGATAGCATAAAACTAAAAGCATCAACAAACATCTCTCTCCAAAATCCAAATTAACAAAAAGTATACAAACGATTTTGTGATAAAAAAAAATGTGACATAATCCAAATAACATAACATCCTTCAATACTTCAAGCAACTAATTCATAGCTTAAAAGTTAAAACTCAAATATCTTAAACAAAAAATCTACCAAAGCGAGACACCCCACAAATGTACTACGTGTGATGCACTGATGCTTATAATGCTTATTATAGTAGCTAAGTATATATCGAGCAAATGAAGGCATCAAGGATAAACCAAACTAGGGGTGAGCATAAAAAGCGAACCAAACCGAACCGGTACCAAACCGATAATTAATGGTACCAAAAAAAATATTGGGTATTTAAACGGTTCAATAGAATTTTATCCCGAACCGCAACTGTACCATTTAGAATGAGTACGAGATCAGTTCTAGTTTTTGGGAATTGAAAAATATCCAGGGCCGGTCATGAAAAAATAGAGACCTTGTGCGACTAACAAAATTGGGCCTTTCTTTCCAACACAAAGCGAAATAGAACATAAATAATAATCATAATAGTGATAAATTACTGATAATTTGTGTTAAAATTTGAATTGATATTGAACATGATAGCAAAAACAAATGTATTCATTAATAAATACATTTCATGAAAAAAGAGACATTCTTCGAGCGTATTTAGATGCAAAATCTCTTTTGAAACTTCTGATGTCCAGATTGATGTTTCTTTGGAAACATAATTTTTATAATCATGTACATGTTTACAAATTTCAGTTAAAAATTAATTTAATTTTGACTTAACAACTTTAAACCCACAACCTAATAAGTGATAAGTAATACGAGTAATATGCTTATACATTTATACCAATTTATTAAATATAAATAGTTTAATTAATTCATCAAACAATTACACAACATCAAAAATAACAAACTAATACCAAATTTGTTAAATTTCATTATAGATTAGGAGGCCTAAGGGCTAAGGACTAATAAATAATCTATCAATAATCTAAACATAAAAATCAATGATTCAAATATACAATGATATGCGTAGTATAATTTAAAAGTTAAAATAGTCAAAAAGATAAACTTACCTGCTGTGGCGAGTAGGCGGCGTGCGGTGCAGCGGTGCTGAAGTGCTGAACGGCTGAACAAGGCTGAACTGGTGGCGTGCGGAGCCGCGGAGCTGTGGTGCTGGACTGCTGGCGTGCTGCGGTGGCAGGCCTGTCGCCTAGAGGCCTAGACGGGGGTCACGGAGGACGGAGGTCGCCTTGGCCCTTGGTCGACTGCTGCGGCCTGCGGATTGGGTGATTGCCTCGACGCAGGGCGTTAAATCGTTCGTTTTGTTAAATCTTTCAGGCTTGCTCTATTTTGGACTTTGGACTACTCCATAATACTGTAATTAATTTCTTCTGTGAGCCTTCTTTATTTGAGGCCCTGTGCAATGGGAATGGGCCAGGTTTTCCTCCTTGGGCTGGTCCTGAAAATATCGGACCGAATCGTTTAAAATTTATACAATGAGTGTTTTATATTTTTTCATCCCAATAAATATCTTGTTTAGACCAACAATTTTATGGCTCAAGTATAATTTCATTTGTGTGTGTAAATTATTAATTATGTTATTCTTTTCTTTTAAATAATTTATATTAAAATAATTATACTATTAATAATCTATATTATATTTTGGTATAGATTTAAAGAATGCTAAAGTTTAAAAAATAATTAATGATTACTAACATCCAGTAATGTAACGTATATGGCTATTTGTAGTGTCATATTTGTGTAGTTTTGTAACTAAGTTAATATGATTTAAATCTTATCTTCCACGATACAACTATGAATCGGAACTAATATTCAATATAGAATAAAGAAGAATGATGATGAGATTTCATGTAATATTTAAAAATTTGATGATATTCTTTTTAGGGAAAAGTACGGATTAGATACCTGTGGTTGTGGGTGTTTTCACTTAGGGGTCTGTGATGATCTTTGTAACAAACGCAGCCTCGTGTTTTGCTACCGTTACCACCCGTGGGGTCTATTGGACCTGGCCGTTAGTTAAGTGCGGCGTGGCATATATTTTTTTTCAAATAGGCTCCAGCGTGGCCAATGGAGAGCAAATATTTGAATTCTTAAAAAACCAAAAGCTTAAGTCAAAATAGGGCTTAATAAAATACGATTTAGGCGCGATAGGAAGTTCTTCTTGACATTGGTTCTTCACCTGCGTTGGGAAAGAAGAATGACTGTTGGTCGCAAGAGACAAAGGATAAGAAGTCACGGACTGGGGTATGGAAGTTTAGCTACTTTCGTGTTAACGTCCTGAGATCAGAGTAAGTACTCCAACTATTATTTATTTTGAAGTTACACTGTCAATGGTCTTTATTTTGAGCAAAGGACTGGTCGTCTTTAGAGTTTTAGGTTGCACCGTCAATGGTGTTTTGAAACCTGGTTGGTTGGTGTATTAATGTGTGAATGGGTTTGTTTTGAAACCCGGTTGGTAGTTTTGCAGAGTAGCACTTTAAGTTGTCATGTTTTTATGGTTTGGGATGTTTAGGTTGTCCGCGTTCAATGTATTTGCAGGTTGGGAATGAGTGATTACATGAATTTGAAAATTCACCATGGTGGAAAGTGGGACTGTCCAAGACAAAAGAAAACTTATGTGGGAGGCCAGGTTTTGTTTAAAGAAAAAGTTGACATTGACTATTTGAGCAAGTTTGAATTAGATGGGTATGCAGAAGATTTGGGTTATACAAATGGGGTCCAAATGTGGTTCAGAAGATTCTCAATAAGGGAGTTGTGTGGGCCAGTAAATTTGCAAGAGATAGTATGTGATAAAGATGTCCAAGACATGCTGGTGTGTAACATCATGGACCCACATGTTGACTTGTACTTTGTTGCAAACACTAGTAACAAACGGGTGGTGGGTACTTTACCACAACATACAACCCAATCCTCACAGGAAACCCAAAGCTCTGTCCCAAGTACAACACCAAGTAAAGACCAACCTGCAGTACCACAACCTCTAGATGCACATCAATTTGTGGGTGTATCAACTACATTTGTGGAAACAGAATTAGAGAGTGATGAGGAAGATGAAGACTATGTAATTCAAAGTGGTTCTGAAAGTGATTCAGAGGAGCATTCCCAAGAAGGAGATCCCAATATCAGTGAAGCTAGCCGGCTATCCCAAGAAGAACTAGAAGGGAGTGAAGATGATGTCTTTAATCATGAAAGTGCAACATTAAACCAACAACCACAAGGAGATCCTAAACCACCTTCACAACCCAACACTTTTGGGCTTGAGGATCTGAATGAAGAGCAGCTTGAGGAGTTTAATGAGAGGCTCTGCTATAGTGATGACCTGCATAGCATTGTAGGATCTGATGAAGGTGATGCCAAATATGAAGAGTTCAATGAAGAAACAGGTGCTACACATCCAGAATTGTCCAAAGGTTTGAAATTTAGTACACATACCTCCTTTAGAAATGCTCTTAAGGATTGGGCTGTCAAGGGTGGATTTGAATTTAAATTTGTGAAGAACAATTGATCTAAAATCACTGTGGTATGCAAAAACAAGGACATATGTTCTTTCAGAGTTCATGCTTCTAAACTTCCTGAGTGTGGGTCCTTTCAGATTAAGACCTTTAGGCCAAAACATGAATGCCCTTTCAGTAATAGAAACAGCTTGGTCAATAGTACATATTTAGCTAAAAAGTACATGGATGAATTGAGGGAAAATCCTGAATGGGATGTCAGTGCTATGCAAAAGTCAGTGCAAAGACAATTAAGGGCAGAGGTAAGTCTGGCAAAGTGTTATAGAGCTAGAAGAAAGGTAAAGGCAAAGATGCAAGGGGACATAAAAGAACAATATAGGAGGTTGAGGGATTATGCAGAGACTGTAGTTAAATTCAATCCTGGGAGTGTAGTCAAAATAAAAACTGAAGCTAGGGATGAGATTGTAGAAGGTGCTAATGCAGTGGGTGGTCCAAGAATACCCAATGAAATTCTGATGCTTCAGTACATGTACGTGAGATTTAGTGCACAGAAGCAGGGGTATTTTGCAGGTCTTAGACCCTTAATTGGGTTAGATGGCTGCCATTTGAAAACACCTATGGGAGGGCAACTACTATGTGCTGCAGCAAGGGATGGAAATGAAAACATGTTTCCTCTTGCTATAGCATATGTGGATAGTGAAGATAAAGCTTCATGGACTTGGTTCTTGCAAGTATTGTTTGAAGACTTTGGCAGACCAGAGGAAACTAAATGGGTTTTCATGTCTGATAAACAAAAGGTAATAAAAAAGTACTTATTTCTTGTTTAAAATATGTGAATAACTTCTTTCTGTATACTGTGTTTTTAATTGCTAGCTTCTTTTCAGGGTTTAGTTGAGGCATTCAAGGTTGTGCCACTTGCAAATGAACACAGATACTGTGTGAAGCACATGTATGAGAACTACAAGAAAATCTTTACAGGGGCTGAGTACAAAAAGAAGCTGTGGTTTGGAGCTAGCACCGGAAGTCTGAGGTCATGGGAGAGGCAGATGGAAGGAATAAAGAAGTTTGATGAGGGTGCTTACAACTGGATTATGCAGTATGTGTCATGCCCCGGACCTACCCGGACACGTCAACAATCCGCCGTACAGTACGAATAGTCAACCACAGTCCGACTCATCCATACTATACAAGGCGTCTTGAATACCATTCACACATAGTACATCCATAAACAAACATAATGTAAAATAATCATTTACAGCAGCGGAAACATTTAAGACAAGTGTTTATGCCACACCTTGGCAAACATGGGCATACAAGCCCCCAAATAATTATTCAAAACAAAAACAATATCCATGAGCATTATTTAAATTGTTTTCAAAACAGAAACGGAAGTGTAAGGAATAAATGTATTTAGATTTTGATGATGCTAGGTTAATTAGAATTTGAAAGTACCCCATTAGAAATTATGTATTAGAATTTCTTTTGTAAGTTTTAGCTTAATCTGCCTGCCAGAGTTCCATATTGCCTCTACCAGAGTTGCTCCCAGAGTTGCTCACCAGAGAAGCTCTCAGAAACTGGTTATCAGAAAGATACCAGAGTTGGCACCAGAGACGGACTTCAGAGACTGGACCAGAGAACCTCTTGAGACTCTGCTAAGTATCATCAGATTCCGGAAGCCCTTCCAACGGTCGTTAAACTAACGGGAAATCCCCTAACGGTTACGAACCTTTCAACGGAAGCATGGCACTGTACACGCATTAAATGCACATTTAATGCTGTACGTATGAAGAGATATTTAAAGCTGATGATTGACCATGCGAATATCTTTACGCCCCCAAAATAGCAAGTCGGAGGACCAAACGGTCAAGTCAAACAGTACATGCATTTAATGAAGCTGTCTTCTACACTCCAACGGGAAGACCGCTCCCAGTATATAAGATACACTCTGAAGAACAAAGAAGATAACTTTTGCCATAACCTTTGCCAAGATAAATTTGCGTGAACAATTTTCTTGAGATTGAAACTCCTTTCTAACAAGAAAAGGCTACAGTTGGAAGATAAACATTCCTATCCTTCATCCAACTTGCAAAGGCAAAGTCACTCAGTTCTTCAACACTTCGAGAGCTTCATATACTCATCTTTTGTGAAGAAGCAACGTTGGAGAAAACTGATTCTATATCAAACACTTCTTGAAAAAGAAGGGACGTCTCAAATTAGCTGGAGTAAGTGAAGTGGAGATACTTCAAGAGACTCAGTGAAACGAGACCAGCCATCAGGAAGCAGGACTGCATCCCGGGTGGCTACTAGACTTGAAGAAGACGAGGAGTGCTTCTTAAGCTCTAGGGACTAAGGCGTTGTAAACTGTTGTTTTTGCAAGCTTAGTGGAACAGTGGACTAGAGGAACGAGTTGTTCCTTGAACCACTATAAAAACCCCGGTGTCATTTACTTTCAGCTTTTACTTTCTGCACTTAAGATTCTACTGACTAACTCTTTAGGTTGGAATCTGTGTCCAGCAGATCTTCCTTCAGAGTTATCAGAAAGGCATTTTGCCTTAGCTTTCTTCTAGAGGCTACCCGGACAGAAACTTATCCGCTGCCTGGTCTAGTTCTGCCATCAGAACTTGACCATCTCTGTCACCAGATTTCGACCATCTCTGTTAAGTCAGACTTGACTTGGAAAAAAAGTTTAAATTCCTGAACAGTCTATTCACCCCACCCCTCTAGACTGTTCCTACTACAAACGGGACCAACAAGTGGTATCAGAGCCTCCTTGTTCTTGTAATCTTTTAGGTTACTTACTAAACAAGAGATCCACTTGTTTTAGCCTCTTTAATCTCATATTATGGATAACACTCTTTCAAAGAATCTTATGTTCTCAGTAACAAAGTTTGATGAC